CATCTTCTAAAGTAATATCCTCTAAGAATACAGATAGTATAGAATTTAAATATAAACATATAGCAAATATATTAATTTTCTTTTTCTTTCTAATCTTAATATATATTTTTTTGCCATTGGTACACATGACACTACCTTTGCCTAATACCACTAGGTTTGCAAATGTTAAAAAATAGTATCTCTTATGCTGTGTTATTCAAAATGTAGCAACAATAAATTCCACTTCATACATTATAGTGAGATCAAGAGCGCCATTCAATATTGGAAGTTCAGCGGTGATCTACCTCTCTTCTGTCTGTTTCTCTACACATATTGTGATGAATTATGAATTATTTTCCTTTTATTTTTTCCTGTGATTTGATTTGTGGGAAAGAGTAAAAGGGTTAAAGTTCCCAGGCTCAAAGTAGAATTTACCAGAAACAAGGATATGTGTAATAATTTCTAAATTGTATTTACGGATACCATTTTATTCTATTGATTGGAAACTGTACTCAGCAAAGGGAATCATACAAAGGAGATAAGAGAGAATGAGAAATTGAAACAGAGCATTGATGGAAGTTTCCTAACAGCAAAAAATGAGAAGGCTGTGCTATCCCAGGGGAAGCGGGGGTGGACCTGATGCCTGAGACAGTGAATGCTGTGATGGAGTCAACTGCAGTGAATCCCGTAATTACTAAATTAGACTGTTCCATTTCTGGATAATGCATACTGCATTTTGATCTTGATTTAAAATCCAATTAGTTCAGGATCATCATTCCTGTTAGTTCTAGCTTCTCTCCCATGGCTTTGAGAATAGAGCAATAGATAAGTATTTTTATGTTTGCTCTTTGTAGGGCGTCTTTGAAGACATGACTTTTTAAATCTATGGCAACAGGTGTCCCCCCTCCTACTCTCACATATTTTACTGATTACTCTCTCAGTGTAGCCTCAAATTCTCTCAAGTCCTAGGAACCAATGAAATGCTACATTGATACATATTTGGCTTTTCCAGTAAATAATGACACCCATGACCCTCTTCTCTTTGAAATGACTGCTTCTTTTTAAAATTTGTATGCTTTCTTTTGTATGTAGAGAGACTGCCTTTATGGATTCTTGACTCTTTGTGGATTCTGTTATTCATGCTCTTGTTTTTATTTAGAAATCATTAGGCAAGTCTTACGTATATTGTGAAGGAATGAACCTTCAAAGAAAAAGATCAGATTTTAGATTTGTCAAATGTGAGGATGAAAACTTCTGGAAAATGAGCACTGTTTTCAGGTGAGAAGGAAAAGGGAACTTCAGGCAGCCCATTGAAATGACTTAAGTTTGTTCACTTGACTACATCAGTAACTGAAGAGAGTATGAAATAGCCTCCATGGAAAGTCTTTAGGATTTACGTATTAGAAAATATTAATCTGTGGCTCATGGTTATGAAATTATTCTGAGTGCAGTTTTGCTTTTTCTTGTTAAATACACTTTAAAAACGTCCACAGTGGTGGTATAGTATACATTATTAAAGTATGTTCTTCATAGTGAAGCATGGAGTTATACTATACAATAATTTTATACCCCAAGAAAGAAAACAGGCACTTTCTTTCCTCCATGGGCTTGCTGAAGAAAATGTGAAACATTGATTGAGAGCTACTTGTTAATTCACACTAGGGAACCATGTAAATTACTTAATTTTTAAAATTACAATGTAAACAAAACCAATGCCATAAAGGAATTCAAGGGTTCTACATCAATATAATATTTTGTTCATTTACTTTGACAAGTGTGGTTCATATACTCAAGTGTTGCTTAGCATTATATTATTAGAATTAACATAGTGCATTTCATCAAAATAATGAAATTTTAGTATATAATAACTTAGAGAGAAAGTTCATCACATTTTTCTGATATGTATTATTTTAAATAATTTATATGCATTTATGGGTACATAAATGTTACCCCATCTGTCCCTCTCACTCTATTTCCCCCTCTCTCTCTTTCCTTCTCTATTTTTACTTTCTCTCTCAAGCACAGAGGATTAACTGTAAATTTAACAATTCTGCCGCCTTTTTATATGTTCATAGATTATGATTACTATTAAAAATGATTACGTGGTTGATAATTCATACAATTCTGTATGCTTAGTATGCATTCATCATATTTTCAAAAGCATTACTGTATCTTTGCTTGTGTAGCAGATATAATATTGTGACTGATTAATAAACAATATAACATCTATTAAAATTACTAGCCTAAGAAACTAAAAGTCTAGTATTATGATTATACATCAACCAAAAAGTGGAGAGATAGGAATATTAACATATATAGATATTGAGGAAGGAAGAAAGAGATGCAAGCATTGATTATTTAAAAAATTCCATTTTTATTAAGCTTATACTCAATAAAATTGATTAATCTTGCTTCCAGGTTTAACTGTTTAAATTAATTTTGTATACCTTAAGAAAACGAGTATAGAAAACATAGAGTATAACAAGAGTATAAGGCAACAAAAACTGTATCCTAGTTACCAAAATGCTAGAATAGACAGAATAAAAATTAGGTAAAAACACAAAAGCAATTACAAATGACCTGGAAGCACTTATAAATAATCTGTATCTATATAGAGAGCAATACAGTTTTACATGTATCTATGTGGCTCGGATGGTAAAGAATCTGCCTGCAATGACGGAGACCCAAGTTTGATCCCTTGGTTGGAAAGATCCCCTGGAGAATGAGGAAAACTCCAAAACTCATGCCCTAAAGAAAGAGGGTCAAGAATATTACTTAAGCCTCAAAATATACTAACATTTTATTTAAATATTTCCTTCATGTATTAGGAAGAATATTATCAAAATCAATTTATCTAGGTAATTACAAGGCTATCAGATTTCCAGTTGAATTTTGAACTTAAAAAATGAAATTAAATATCACAATATAGTGTAGTTACTAAAAATAAAAATTTATCTTTGTCCTCCAAAACTTATAGAAGCAACCAAGCTATTTTTCTTTATTATTAAGGATGTTAAGATCACAGAAGAAGCACAATATCAAGAAGTTTGATTTTAAGCAGAGTTATTCTATCTGCAAAAGCACCCTAATTAAGACTTACTAACTCAAATACTGTAACATGTCATACTGGTATTTTAAATAATATTGAAAAGATATGGATTGAGTTCATGAAGATATGCTGTAATATCTTCTATAAACTGAATTGTTGTTGGTTAGTTGCTGTCATGTCTGACTCTTTTGTGACTACATGGACCATACGTAGCCCACCAGGCTCCTCTGTTCATGTAATTTCCCAGGCAAAAATACTGGAGTGGGTTGCCATTTCCTTCTCCAGGTTACTTTCCTGACCCAGGGATCAAACCCACATCTTTTGCATTGGCAGGTGGATTCTTTACCACTGAGCCACCAGGAAAGCCCATAAATTGAATAGTTACAGTTTTTAATATATTTATAATTAATGTAATTTTCCATTATATTATTTTATTTTAGGGATTAGAAATGGGCACATACTTTAAAATTATTTTTGACAGTTTTAAAAGAAAATATCCCTTATATGGTAAATAAAGAAAGTGAAGAAATGTATTTTTCTCTTATGATTACTTATTAAGTCCTTTATTGCTCCCTTATAAGGGATAGCTGGGACACCTCTCAGATCCCTTACTGAGATTCTTTAGTTCTGAAGACAGAGAAGCAGATTTCATTCATTACCAGCCCATCTCTACTCTATTAAGAAGCAAATGAGTAGATGCTTCTAGGTTACTTTATCCATAACGAATGCATGAATATTGCCTGTTTCTCCCAGAGAGTTACAAAGATAGGAGATGGCTTTGAAAAGAAAAGTGCTAGTCTCTGGGGATCAGAATCCTTGTACCTGTCAGAAAGTTAAATATGTCTCAGCTGACAGCAGCTGTTCACTTAGACTTTCAAAACGAAAACCCTTTTGATGGATTAAAAAAAAAAACACCTATATACACACACACACATACTGCAAAATGTCAAGGGTGTGTGCAAATCAAGGACATATATATGGCTTGCTTTAGCAAAAATGGAGAAATAGTTATGAAAAAAATTAGATTTCCTGCCAGCATCAGCGTGTTATTTCAGTCTGGCCAAACTCAATATTCCCATATCAGTTTTGACTGAAAGTGTTAGTCACTCAGTCATGTTAGACTCTTTGTGACCTCATGGACTATAGCCCACCAGGCTACTTTGTCCATGGAATTCTCCAGGCATGAATACTGGAGTAGGTTGCCATTCCTCACTCCAGGGGATCTTCCTGACCTAGGGATTGAACCTGGATCTCTGGCATTGCAGGCAGATTCCTTACAGTCTGAGCCACTAGGATTTTGACTGAGGCCCATACCATTACTCTGGAAGATGTGAAGGGTGTGAACAGATAGCAACTCCTAGATAAGTAGAGTAAGCGGCAGGATCTTGGGCGATTTTAAAATACAACGGGGTGATGATTATATAGTATAATATGTTTTTAAATCATAACATGATTTCAAGAGCCCACCAAGATCCATAAAGTTAACTAGGGCTAGTTTCTGTTCTGTTAAGAGCCACTTAATTCACTTCCATCAGTTATGTAAATGTAGGTTTAATGTAAGTTGCCCTTGTCCTTCCAAAAGGGTGTGAAGACATATTTTATTTCTGTAGTTTCTGCAGTTTAATAATACTGCTTATCACTTTAATTTTCAGAACTGCAGTGTGGGAGTGGGATTAGTTGAAGCTTATTTGAAAGAAGGAACTGAAATAAGACATTGACCATCCCAAGATTCAAAGTTAGGACAATATGTTTGGGTGCCCAGTATGGTCCTGGCTAAGCTCTGTGGGCATCAAAAGTCTACAGGGTTAAAAGGTGTTCTCTGCCAGAGGGCTGAGGAGTCAAGTTCAATACACAGTCACATGCCTTTGTGAATAATGCTGATTTCTGTCACAGGGCACACTCAGCAGAACCACTATGGTGTGATACACGCATTGAAGAACAATGAACATTATGAAGAGAGTTATAACACTACAGCTCATATTTGCAGCACATCAGCAACTGAAGGTGTAAGGTCTAGAAGCAAGTACAACATTGCAGTGCTGAGACCACAGGTAAATGAATCCTTCATTGTTCAGTTTTCATTTTTTAAAGATTTTCTTTCCTACAGAAAAGATCTTCTTTCTTATAGGGAAGATATAAGTGATTGATGATACATATTAAGTGACTAACATAGTGCTTGGCACTTATGTGCTCACTAAGCAGTTTCTAAAAATAAGCACTAATTATTATTGCATATTATATATAAGCCACATATTAAGATGAAAAGTACCTATTACACAGAGAGAAGTCTTGGGTTCAGGCTCTAAGTGAATCTAGGCAATGCCTTACAGTTTCATAGAACAAAGAAAAAAGCACATTTTTAAAAACCACACATCATTTATTCATTCTCTCTGCTTCAGCTTCCTCATCTGTGACATTAGGGAAACAGCAGTCCCTGTCCTCCTTACTTTGCACACTTTCTATGAGCATGAAATGCAGGTATTTCTGTGAGCACCAAGTAAATGGCAACAAATTATACATGTTTACTATTACCCCTGTTAACTGTCAAGAGGTCGTCCTACTGAACTAGGGTCCACAGGAGCACACGTGGGCAGAGGTGAAGGCCTGGTGGGTTGACATACAACAAATGAAGTGGAGGTTCTGAAGATCTCCATATGCAAACAAGGTCAAATGGCATTAGCGATAAAGAAGGGATGGGACTTTTTCAGACAGCTTTAGGTGATGGTATCTAAATCACTTAATTTGTATTTACTAAAGACTTGAGTGAATTAAATCTATTTATTAAACACATAATAAAACTGACACAAAGTAATAAGTTTTATGGGAGCAGAGGCTGGGATGGTCTTTGCTTTTACCATTGTCTCCCAGTGTCTAGCTTTAAGTAAATGAATAACGCTGTGTTTTTTGCTGTTTTGAGAGATATACTGAAAAGCAGGACATAGTCCCTCCCTACCTATCTCTCTTTCTCAAACATTTATTGAGAAGTTATTATATGATAGGCACTCTGCAGACTAGGGAAATGAACAAACAAGAACTAGACCACTGCACTGACAAGCTAACAGCCCAGAGAGAGATTTACATGTAGAAAGATGAGCTGAATATGATACAATGTGACAAGTGATATAACAAAGCCAGAACAAGTGCTGTGGGAGACCCAGGGGTAGAATGCTTCTCTCTGCCCAGATCAGACTAGTTCCTTCTACATAAAACATCTGGAGAACAACAGGAGGCTATGTATACTCAAGTGATGGAATATATATTTCAGGAAGGCAGAGATTAGAAGCCTATTTCCATTATGGAACTAAGAATATACTATATAGTATCAGTAGCAATTAGAAAAAAATCATGTCACAACTGGCCTATGGACCAATGGAAAAATAAATGCGAAACCTCTCTAAGGAAATCCTTTGCTGGGTTAGTGTTATTGAGGTCAGACACCTGATTCCAAGTTGGAGCTCCACTGTACCCCAAATTAGAGAGAGTCTGGAACAAACCTTTTCAATCATAGCAACAGTTCCAGGCACTCACATGTTGAGAGTACATTTACAGTTTTAAAGCTTTGGTAATATAACTCCATGCCAAGAAAACAGAAAAACAAGATCTATGTGTCCCCTAAATAGTCCCAGCTGGCTGACTCCTAGAGACCTTCAATCAGGTTAGGAGATTTTGGCTCCTTTTCCAACAGACGAGACAACTACAGACTTCAAGTTCCTGACTCAGACTTCTTGTCTGTCTCTACCCCATCTTCATTTTCCTTGACTTTAGTACCTCCACTTGCTTGAATTTTTCCTCTCCATGTCCTCATCCTCTTAGCTGCCTACTCCCTTGCCCTAAATTATATACCACCATCAAAACTTCCACACAACTTTAACCTGCATTTTGGACAGCTTCTTTGAAAAGTGGACCTCATCTTTGATGACCTCCACACTTCAGTCTTTGCCCTATCTATTTAACTCATCATCAAGTCGCATTGCTTGGTGTTAACAATACATCTGCGTTCATTCATCCTCTCCTCTCCTTGCATCACCTTAGACTAAACCATCATCAATCACTTGGATACTATTAAGCTTGTAATTATAGCTTAATACCTCAGTAACTGTTCTAATAAAAATACTAGCATGGTTAAACAGACATGTTAAATTTCCTATTAAAAAAGGATTCGAGTAGACTTTTGGATAGCAGCCATCCTGACTGGCATGTAATGGTACCTCATTGTGGTTTTGATTTGCATTTCTCTGATAATGAGTGATGTTGAGCATCTTTTCATGTGTTTTTTAGCCATCTGTATGTCTTCCTTGGAGAAATGTCTGTTTAGTTCTTTGGCCCATTTTT